TCATTGTTTGCTATGCGTAGAAGTCATAGTGGCAGAAGGGGTCTTGGGGTCTTGGGGTCTTGGGGTCTTGGGGTCTTGGGGTCTTGGTAGTATATAGCAGCAACAGAAGCAGCGTCAGAAGGAAGAAGAAGAAGAAAAAAACAAAAAGGCAGCTATCAACAGTAGCTTTCTTCGGCCGAACTCAGCGACAGCAAATTTCCACTTGCGTGTCCTTAGGATCAAGGAAGAGGTGGTCGGGTCGAGGCCAAGCATTGGCGCTGAACAATATGCATGGGCGTCGCCGCCGGTCTCGTAATGCCAATGGAGCCCAGTCATGAAGCCAAGGCTGTTGCAGGAGTACGTGTAGTTCGTGCCGTCCCAGCTCACCTTCCCATGTACGGAGTCACCAGCAAACATGACGTACGGCGGCAGCTTCGGTGTGCAACAGGTGTAATTGTACGCCATTTTCCCGGTTTCGTGGTGATGGCCTGGGAAAATCGCATCGGTGCCCTGCAGGGCCTTGCCTCCATGGCATCGCATCTCCACGCCATGGTTGTGATCCGTGTGGCCGGGAGTCCTGTGGCAGCTCTCTCCTGCCCAAAGCTTCCAATTTTCCCAGCCAAAGCACTGGTGCCAATTGTGGTCGGCCGAATTCGTTCGCAATGCTGTGAGAAAGCCTTGAGATCCGCAATCATTCGGAGACGTGCCGTTGAACTCTTCCTGGTTCTGAACCGGCGTATCGGCAGCTTGGAGGCAGAATGTATTGTTTTTGTTCTGGATTGTGTTGCCAGAGCCCTCCAATGGATCTATGGTCCAGAAGGCGGTCTTTGGGAGATCCTCGACCAACCTGGGGCTGTTAACTCCGCAACAAATCACGGGAGGGCACTCTGCACCCTAAACCCTGAACCCTAAACCCTAAACCCCAAAAAAAAGAAGGGGTGCCGAGAGCCCATTCCCAGGAACCTCTTCGGCATCAGCTGGAGCCCATCGACTCCATCATCGTAGAGATAGTAAGGCTCCTCATCCTCTTCTCAGAGTCATGGGTTTAGGGTTTAGGGTTTAGGGTTTAGGGTTTAGGGTTTAGGGTTTAGGGTTTAGGGTTTAGGGTTTAGGGTTTAGGGTTTAGGGTTTAGGTAGAGCCACAGTCACAATGAGCCGTTCGGGGTGTCATGGGGGGGTCTGCTCTTGGAATGCAGTCGGTGTGCGACATCTGGGGCTTGCAACCCTAAGGTGGGGCTAGGCATCTTGCCAGAGAACTGAATAATTATGGGAACATCCCCGAGCGCATGTCTGAAGTCTTTGACAGGTTTCCGTTGGCCCATGTAGGGGGAGGGGGGCGGAACCGTATATTCGGCCTTCTTGAATGGCTTCCCTCTAAGGGAGGGGCCCAGGGCTTCAGCCAAGCGGGTCCCCGAAGATATTTGCCTCTACGAGACTAACGAATTTCCCCCTGAGGGTATTGGGAGGTAGCCAATGTTCCGGAGCAATGTTTTAGGGTGCAAGCTTGCAAGAAGGCCACGAGTCATTTTGTGTGCTTGAGGATTTGCACCTCGGCTGTATCCAGGCAGTGCTTTTGGGGCTTTGAAGGTTCCCGCGGATCAAGACACAGTCCTGTGCCGACGGATAGTAGGCAATGGTCGACCCTACTCCAGGAACCTCCTCCACTGCGAAGCCTGGGCTGCCGCTGGAGTGCAACCATAACTTGTGATGTTCCCCCTTATACCAACAGTCCTTAATAGGGATTATCATGGAGAGATACCCCGCAATATGCGAGAGAGAGAGAGAATGGAAAAGAGCACAACCCTGCACCCAGTGATCCCCGAAGCCATTGCAACAAGGATGCCTCCTTCTTGTTCTGCGTCAGACGTGTACTTTTCCGTGACCGGCTTCAGCTTGCCAGAATTGTTCTGCACAGCCAAGTGGATCTCCTCGGTGTGTCAGGCGCAAGGCATACACGCCCAAGCTCGGAAATCCTTGCTGGCATTGAACCCGTTCTCTTTCAAAAACCGGCCATGAGCTTCTAGGACGTACTGCGGCACACGCCTCGTGTCGGAATGCATCCAACGTAGATATACTGGTTGGGAGCTTCGTCCACCGCTTAGCAACGGGCAAGGTATAAAGTGTGTAAAGTGAACCAGGATTTCTGGTGGCCAAACCGCTTCAAAACCAGCGAGAGCTTGCTGCGTCTTGGAAGGCCTGTACAGAACAATGATGCCAAAACCTACCTACAGTACGTCGACGTTCTTTCGCCGATTCGCCAGCGCAATCCGCTTAGCAAGGACACAGGACGACCCGAGGGTTTAGGGTTTGGGGTTTAGCAATCATGCCAGCAAGAATCGAAGAGGACGAGTCCTGCTGCAAAAGGCAGCAGGCACCAGAAAACACAGCATATCACAGCATGCGCTAGCAGTCCTCCGAAACTAGGCATTCAACACCTGTGCTTTCATGAATGAGTGAGTGAGTGAGTGGACGGCCTGGGGTGCACTCCGGCCAACGGAAACGTTCCCTCCCGCCATCTCTTCCCCCCTCCGCTTGCGTCATTGGGGAGGTCCGGCAAGAGTTCGACGCTCCGAGCCCCTCAATCCGAGCTGGGAAAAACGCCACCCGAACCTCCATGGCCCCCCCCCAAGCCGGGCGGCTTGGGTTGGATTTGGGCACTTAGGCAAGACAGCCCACTTCACAGGAACAGAAACTCTTCCCTTGCGATCCCTCACAAAGGTACTAAGCTGGGGGCATTGGCTCGGAGACAGGGCTTGGGGTGCGGGGTGGTCGTACCAAACACGCACACACGCACCGGCAGCAAGACTAAGGGAAAAAGCAAGTTCAGCTAATCCCCTTTTGGCTGCACAAACTCCAACAGTATCCCCTTGGCATGCGGGGCAATGCCTGCAACTCAAGGCACCGCCCCCGACCAGAAGGGGATGTGCTTTCATGAAAACTGCTTTGCAGCCATGCTTCCACAGGGCCCCCGAACATGCCGATCCTGAAGAGCTCCTTCACAAGGATCTGATGCTGTTGTTGTAAAAAAGGTACATACGCTTGTGTGCTCACCCGCACCTCCCCCCACCTTTGACCGGTGAAACATGCTTTTCGCTACCACTATATGTATGTTCAACTTATCATCGCTGCCAAACAAGAGCTGGGCGAAATGCATCCAATCTCATCTCGCGAAGGTTCGAACATATGCCCTTCAAGTCTTGAAGTCAGAATGTGTCGATGAATGCAAACCACTTGCTACATATGCCACCAAGTAATCTGAGCACCCACGAGTGCGTATATGACTCTGACTACCTGAAGGAACTCAGCACACTCGACGGTCAAGGGGGTGAGCTTTTGGGCAAGAGGTTATCGTGATACTGCGAGAAGCTGAAAGTGCACTGGGGGCCCAGGCCCCAAACTCTGGGTTCACTGTTGGCCCGCCCAGCCTCAGTCACCCCTCGAAACCTTGACGACCTCAACCTGAATCTTCAAGGCTCAAATAGTTCTGCGCGGTGACCCCTCAACCGTGCTGCCGGTTCCTTCACAGGGGGTCGGCGGCTCTCGGGAACGAACTGCAGCTGCTGGAGGGTCAGCTCTCCTCCTTTTTGGGGGGTCTTAGGCGGTTTTCAGCCGTTTGGTGACTTTTAGGGTTTGTTGGGGTGGTTTTGGGTGGCGTATAATAAAGTAAGCACGCATTTGCTTGATCGCTGGGCTCACTGCCTTCAACCCGAAGACATTGTACGCAACACCATGCAAAACAAGACCAGTTCAAGCTACCTAAACGACCCGTAGCTGGCCCAAGCTGGTCAGCGACTGCCTAAAATAGTCAGAAAAGACCGAAAAGACCTAAGAAGCAGCCCGACAGGAGCTGGACAAGTTGTTGGGAGGTGGCACGCTTGGTCATGAAGATGCATGTGCCAAAGCCGAAGCGATGGAAGCCGATGGTTAGCATCGTGAGTCCACCCGCAGAGCTTCGGAACAAAAGTCCGTCGCAAGTGATGTTGCGCTGTGCGGTAGCTATACTAACCATGCGATCTCAGAACCGGAGCATGGGTCGTTTGTACACTGGTGCGGCCAATGTGGGGACGGATGGTCCTGACCCTGGGAGCTCTGAGACACTGGTCAGCCGAGCTACAAAGTTCCGCTACGAGATATGGACATTTCCCACAGCATCCCCTTAAAGGGACCCCCAAACAAGGTACCCCGATTTTCGGAAGCCCCCATATTGTGCACGGCACAGCCACTGATCAGCAGCTACAAGCAGCTACAAGTGACATTGATCAGCATCAGAAGTCTACAGCTAACCTAACCTCTGAAAGGGAGGATCCTGCGGATGGCACAGTGAAGTTCCAGGCACGGTCCACGACGTCCACCTCATGCAACCCGAGGGTTTTAGTTTCCGCGATGCTTTTGGCTGGCAGAATATCTACGGGCCGACATACTAACACGGGAGCAGGATTCTTAAAGGACACGACAATCTACGCCTTGGTTCGATTGAGCAGGGTGGCTTCGGGCAGGGTAGCCCAAGCAGACAGGGCTTTCAAGCAGCGGAGGATGCACAAGGTCCTACTGCAGCCGTGCAGATGTGCATAAAGCATGAAGCTCCCGAGGCCCACGCCATGTCCATGCCAAAGATGCAGTTCCCCGTTTCGAACTGCCAAAGCTGGTCCTCTCTTCTAGGGGAGGTTGTGTTCTGCAGCTTCTGTCAGGGCTTTCAAAGATCAGGAGAATGTACTGCGGAGGTGTAGGAATTGGCGGGGAGTACGTCATAAATAAGTATAAATATAAATATAAATATAAAGATACATATATATATAAATATATTATTTATGTATTTACTTATTGATTTATTTATGTATATTTACTTATTTATAATGGAGTTATATTTATTCAATTATTTCTTCATGCATTTTTTCCTGATATATTTGTACATAGATACTGCGGTGAAGCAACAGTCAAGAAAACACTGATCACTGGTGGAAAACGTGACGATGTGATGCATTGGCAAGAATCGCACAAAACATGCGTTTTGACTGATGTGCGGGAATACCATCAACCTCCAAAGAACACTCTACACTCCCTCGAAAGTACACATTCAAAACATGGACCCTTCTGCGGTACCCCTCCAACACCCCTGACCTGCACCGATGAGCACTTCTCAACAGCGATGCTGAAGTTGGCCTGCAGAAACTGAGCGAACAAGGGCGCAAAGCACCAAGAAGAAAAGTGAAGGTGCGAACTTTCTGTTCGGGTATGAAAGAGTAGTAGAGTATTGGTTTTACGGGGCAAAGGCCAAAAAGAGCATACTCTAAGGCATCTAGATCAAGGGAGCTTGGGCACAGGAAACTTTGAGGCTTCCATGTCAACCGATCTCCATCAACACCGAGAAAGAACTGGAGTTGCTTGCACCTATTCCGCCTGACATCTGATTTCAATGGGTCTTGAAGAGGGTCGCGGCCGCGGGGCGGGTCGAACTTCTGTGCTGTCAGAAGCTCATGGGGCAGCAGAGATCTCGGAAAGTAATCCGACTCACGCCTTTGACAAGCCTGAGGCCCCATGCACCCGCTCCCTAACCCTGCAATACTTGTCAAAGCCTTCCCCTAAACCCTAAACCCTAAACCCTAAACCCTAAACCCTAATTCGAAAGATCCTGTGCGTGGAGCTTGTTTCAAGGCCTCGACCCGGAGGCAACCAGCATCCGAGACAAGTTGCTGCCTTTCCTGAGGCCCGCGCTTGGGGGTTGGGTTCGGCCTTTGTTGTGGTGGTCACTTCCTGTCATATGTTAGGTCTACCTCAAGAAGTTGTGACTGTAGTAACTCACGACAGGTCCTACAGCAACCAAGGTAGCGTATTCTAGTTACTACAGCAACTGACTGGAACTATGGTAGCTGGACATCTGACACTCGGGATGTATGACTTGGTCGGTTTGGGGGGAATTTCGGAGGTCCACCTCTCTTCGGCAGAATTTTGCAGGGCTTCTCAGAATTTTTGCAGGGTTTCTCCCAAGCTTCAGAGTTGCCAACAGCCAATTCTCCGGGCAAAGAAACCCTAAACCCTAAACCCTAAACCCTAAACCCTAAACCCTAAACCCTAAACCCTAAACCCTAAACCCTAAACCCTAAACCCTAAACCCTAAGATTTGGAGAGAAGCTTAGGTTCGGGGACCTTGACGTGGCATGTTGCGCGTATTCTTGTGCACGCGGCTTGGGGTTCGCCATCAACTCATCCCAGTGAGCAGTTTTCTTGCGCGATGTCATAGCGGTGATGGTTGCCGTTGTCAGGTTTGATTTAGTAGCGGCTGTGCTTAAAGTAGTCTTCCCAAAGGGTTTTGGCCAAAAAACAATTCTTCAAATTTTGGAGGGTCTACGAATTAGATCCTCTGATGAAATGTCAATGTCCATGTCATTCCATGCTGGCGCTGTTGCAATTCAACGAGGGCAACTATCCGATATTCTACACACAAACCATCATTGGCATCATCGCAAGAGCTCCGAACATTCCTGCGCGACCGACGCGAAGAGAACGCACATCGGCAACGGCGAAGAAACTGGGAAGCAGCCATGGAGATAATAAGCTTGCTTGCGGACAAAATCCATGCAACGACATGGGCGTGCGTGGCACGAACCCCTGTGCCCGAAAACGCGCAACTCCAGGGAAACCACTATTGAGCTTCAAATGATTCCCCGGTTTAAAGGTTTAGGTTTACGGTTGGTCTTCCGGGGGTTGTTCAAAGCTGATGGAGCTCTTGCTTCGGTCTTGTTGGAGAATTCTCCATCGCGTCGGCTTTTGGCTTGAGCCTTGGAGATCTTGGCCTTCGTTGACTTTCTTGAGTCAAGTGGGCAGTCCTTGAAGTTTTTCGATCTGCAGCAGGGCAGCGAAAAAGCAGAATAGTGACTGGACCATTTCTGCTACGAGCAGCACTGAGAACAGTCCTGCGCGCACTGCTCTTTGAATACGTTTCGCTACGGCGAGTCCTCCGCAGGACTTCTACTGACTGAGTGGGGAAGATACCCACAACAAGAAAGGCAGAGCACACCAACCAGCACTCACCCCATCGCGCGCAGATTCCACAACACCATGCTGGCACTTGCACACGTGCTATTAGCAAGCACAGTCATGGCGCTGGTTTGCCTCCTCTTTCTCTTCTTCTTCTTCTTCTTCTTCTTCTTCTTCTTCTTCTTCTTCTTCTTCTTCTTCTTCTTCTTCTTCTTCTTCTGCTTCTTCTGCTTCTTCTGCTTCTTCTGCTTCTTCTGCCTCTGCAGCTTCTGCTTCTTCTGCTTCTGCTGTTTCTGCTTCTGCTTCTTCTGCTTCTTCTGCTTCTTCTGCTTCTTCTGCTTCTGCTACTCGGGTCGTGCCTTTGTTGTGAAGGATTGGGCCTAAGGAAAAACGCTGTGCTCAGCTTGATTTGCTGTCACGGTCATGGTGGAGCTTCTGCCCCCGTACTGAGGTCTTAGCTGCTGGGGGCTTCCTTCCGTCCGAGCCCTTGGAAAATTCAGTCCGTACGAGTAGGCTCTAGGTCTTGGCCTGGCCTTGCCACAACTAGCCCAGACATCACAACACATTCCAATCTGACAATCGGCAATCAATCAATATCTTAAAATCAAGCCTAAGATTCTAGCCGCAGGGAATCTGGACCGCATTGGCCAAGCCAGATCGTCGCGTTGCCTGAGCTGCAGGACTGGGCCTTTTGTGCTTGCAAGGCTTCTCTTCGGCGTTTCCAGCATCCGTACTTGATCTAAGAAGAACGCACAAAGCTTAGGAACAGAACAACAGGAACATGAGCCGTCGCGATGTCCACCTGTCCATGGGGGGCGGTTGCTCTTGCAGAGGCGGCAACGAGATTTACACCCGCATAGTGTTGTCAAAATGGCATTGGGGTGGCACGGGTGGCCGGGTGGCTCTTTTACCCCTGCTACGATAGTCATATCTTGGAAATTGGGGGGTCAACCATGGGACAACGTGAGACACGATGGCAGAAGCCTCGTAGAGACCCTCCAGAGAGCGCTAAAATGAGCTTCTGCCGCGCTGCGCTGCGTCAAACACATCGAACTCTGCGGGCTCTGGACACGCAGGCGGGACTGCGCATCCTCTCTAGGACTGCAAGGACTCTTCTCACGGCCAGGACGCTTGGTGTGTTGAACAACTACTCGAACGGAGTGAACTCGACATAACCCAGGTTGCTGCCTCTTGTTCTGTTAAGAGGGTCCAAGAGGGTCCGACTACTCCCACCATGCACCTATGGTCCCGTAATGTCCCGTAATGTGGGGCCTCCTCTACAAACATAATCACTTGCCCCGACTCTTGCACAGAGCCCTCGCTCATTCTTACCTTAAGTACTATTCTTCTTATTTTACTATTCTTACTTACTATTCTTCCGATTAGTACCCTCCAAAGTCGAGCATCCCAGTGTCCTGCCAGAACAAGGTCTCCTCGTCAGCGTTGCAACTCGTTTTGAGGACGACTTGCTTCGATCCGCAGGCGTGAAGGACTTGGCGCTCCTGACCAAATCACTCGCATCCACACGGCCGTTCTTGAGTTCAAGATGCATTCGTCTCCTGCTCGTCCACTCAAGTGCGCCAGAATGTAGTGTGGCATGAAACCATATAAAGTATGTCGCTATTAGAGATCTCCTGGCCGTTCTTGCCCTGCAGCGCCAGCACTAGGGACGACCTGTGCGGAATGCAACAGGCGTGCAGCAGCAGTTGGGAGGGTTGAGCTCGAAAGTCTATGTTTGAGGGCCCCATTTGCAGTGCACTCCTTCTAAGAGGTACACCAATAGCCTAAATGGCGCCCCTTTTGGGGATTGTACAACAACCACCCTTCAAAGACAGAAACCTCCCCTAAAATCTCAATCTCTCAATGCCTGAGCAAAACCCGACCGGAGGGGACCTTGTTTGCCAGCTTGCAGTCGGACACCCGCGGCCAGAGGAGCTGGCCTGGGTCACCTTTACGTCAGTCCAAAGAAGTTGTTCGTCTGTGCTTAGGGTTCACGGGGAGCACGGTTTCGGGGCTGAGGGTTCGGCTTGCTTTGGGGCTGAATCTGCATGTCCCGGAACATATCCTTTTTGAGGCTGCTCACAGCCCTGTACCCCACCGCGCTCTGCTGCTGGTGTATGCTGTACTCTTACTCAGACACAACAGTCTGTTATATCCCAAAGGAGGGAGAGCCCTAGCTTTCAAGAGGCCCCACCTGGATCAGCCGGTGCTCCAGAAAGTACACCTGCTGATGGCTTTCAAAAGAAGAGCCAACCAGGGGGGCAGCCAGCTCTATCATCTACTGCCCAACAACGGTGAAAGCGAAGATGCGAAGCATGTTTAGGGTCTAGGGTCTAGGGTCGAGGCAGAATTTCTTCAAGAGATCATAACTTCGTTTCGGACTTGGGTCAACGGGCTCTGCAGAAATACGGGTCCCCTTTCCTTGTCTTACAGCCCCCAAAATACGATTCCAAGAATATACTTGGATATTCTTGGAATCGTATTTTGGGGGCTGTAAGACAAGGAAAGGGGACCCGTATTTCTGCAGAGCCCGTTGACCCAAGTCCGAAACGACTCATCTATCCACCACCCTCGGGTCCTAATTTCCCGCATTGTGTTTTTTGGCTGCCCGGAGCCCCCAGAACAGTATGCTCACGGTAAATCAGATCCCTACCTGCAAAATCGGACACCCCCAATGCGGGCAACCTGAGACCCCGCGGTTCCCCTTTCGACCAGCCTCCGGGAGGTTGAAGCTGGAGAGGTTGCCAAGGCTGGGCGTTCCGACCTGGATGCACTCCTGTGCGGCAAGGGGGGCTTTCAGGTCGCAAAGCCTTTCAGGGTTGGGGCTATTTTGGTGGCTTTACACCACCCTTTTTAGGGTCTAAAGGTTAAAGCTTTCGTTCAAGGACTTTGTAAGAATCTGAAGGTCTGAAGCGGGTTGAAGGCTGTTGGGGTCGAAATGTTTCAGGGCTTGGGGGCTCTCACGGGGTACCCTACACCATGGTGCTTTCGGGCCCCTACACTCCACTCACATGCGGCTGGACCCAAAGAAAGGACCATGATTTCGCCTGACGGAGAACACTGTGCCCGAAGGAAAGAAACGGTAAGTCGAGCCCCCCCCAAAAAAAGAGAAGTCCTTGAACCTCCTCCGCGCCGGAAAGCCTGCAAACCCAAATCCTCCCCCCCGCCCCCCCTCCCAAAACTTTAAGCCCCCCCACACAAGAAAAAGCACAAAAAAGGCGCGTGTCCTGGCAACTGAGGTTGCCCAGGTGCTGCCAGGGCCCCAACTCCTGAGCCGGGCATTCTCCCACTGGCATTCTTGACGCTACGCTTAGGGGAGTTGAGGGGGCTCTATAGGCATAAAGCGTCGTGCATGTACCATTACGGTGAGAGTTAGGGTAGGTGGGGGTCTGATGTCCTGTATTCAAAGAACACTGGCCGACTATCTCCGTCGGGCTATGGCTTCAACGAAAAAAGTGTACTCCTTCTGGTCAAGAGGACCCCAAAAAAAGAGCCACAATTTAGAAATTTAGGATCCGCCCCCCATACATCTCCAACTTTGGGACGGCGCACCCCCACCCACTGGCCGCTGACGCAAGTGAAGGTCGATGCAGGACGTGGGCCCTCCCACTTGAGGCTGTCCTCGATCCTCCGGCGCTCTGCTGGTGGCCACTTTTGGGGCATAGCTGAACTTGAGGGTTGAGACGTATACCAAACGTAAACGTAGAGTTTAGGGACCCCAAAAAGCAGGCTTGGGGTTGGGCATTCTGGGCTCACGACTTTTGGGTCAAGACCCTGCAAGACTACCACAAAACGCTCTCTTGCCAATGAGTTGTTGCAAACACACGGGCTAATTCGCGAGCAATTCTATTATCATTTCGCTCGCTAGTTCGCCCGTATAATAACTAAACTACGAAGTGGATGTAATGAACGCACTAGTGAACGAAAGTAGTGAGTTAGTGGCCGTACTCGGGCTGCAGTCGCGAAACGCGGCCGCAATGAGTTAGTGCAGTGAATAAGTGAACCAAGTAAAAGGAAAAAGCAATTTTTCGTGTGTGAACGCCGTGAGCCCGTGTGCTTTCGTAAACTCACTCACTGTTCTCACCTAATAATTTTGTTATCCGGTGAGGCCTCGGGCCGGAGGTGTATAGGTTGGCACCCCCCTCCAAATCCTCCACACCCAAAGCCCTTTTTCGGACCCCTTTTTTTGGCCTCAAATGGGTACCTCCCCTGGGAAACCGGGGTCCGCAAGCGGACGGTTTGCCAGGACCAAAGGCAGTTGAAGCCCCTCCCAGCAGGGCCCCCCCACCCCCTCCCCCCCACCTCCGCCTCCCCCCCGCCTCTCCCCCCCCCTCCCCCCCGCCCTCTCCCCCCCCTCTCCCCTCCCCCCCCCCCTCCCCCCCCCCTCCCCCCCCCCTCCCCCCCCCCCTCCCCCCCCCCCCCCCCCGCCCCCCCCATCCCCCCCCCCCCCTCCCCCCCCCCCCCACCCTCCCCCCCCCCCTCCCCCCCCTCCCCCCTCCCCCTCCCCTCCCCCCCCTCCCCCCCTCCCCCCCCCTCCCCCCCCCCCCCCCCCCCTCCTATTCCCCCCCCTCCTATCTCCCCCCCCAGCCCCCCCTTCCCCCCTCCCTCCCCCCCCCCTCCCCCCTCCCCTCCCCCCCCCTCCCCCCCCCCCTCCCCCACCTCCCCCCCCCCCTCCCCCCCCCTCTCCCCCACCCCCCTCACCCCCCCTCCCCCCCCGCCCCCCCTCCCCCCCCTCCCCCCCCCCCCCCACCCCCCCCCCCCCCCCCCCCCCCCTCCCCCTCCCCCCCACCCTGCAGAAGAGTCGCCTTAAACCTTAAGGGGCCTGGCTCAACCCTACGATCACTCCAAGCCGAACCCTAAACCCAAAAAAACCCTCAACCCCAAAGCGTGAACCTTGAGCCCTAAACTAACCCTCAACCCCAAACCCCAAACCATAAACCATAAACCCGGAACCCTCAACCCTCAACCCTCAACCCAACCCTTATTGCTTGGGGTCCAGCGACTTGGGCGCTGCGGAATCACCATGCTCACGCGGATGCGCTGGGCCGGGCCGAGGCGGGTCGCGTAGCGTTAAAATTAAGGAGCGAAATGAACCTGTGAAGTGAGGACACATGAATGACATTACTCATGTGAACGCAACACACACGGCGGCTGTAAGGATAGGAAAGGTCCTATAAGGTAGCAAAATTCCTTGACCGGTAAGTTCCATCAAGCATGAGCGGTGTAATGACTTCCTCACTGTCACTACCCTCGGCTCTCAGAAATTGAATCATCCTTGATTATGAGGAAGCCAACGGCCTAACAATAAGACCCTGAGCACTTGGCCGTTCATGTTTCGTGCCCCCAGAAGGCCCTGCTGATAGCATTCATGCGTCCGTACCACGCTTGCTCTGACTGGCTATTACCTTTTCGAAAGGCTAATTTGGAGGCAGGTCCTCCGTGATCTCTCAATGACCCCTAGGAACAAGACCCACAAGCCTGGAGAACATGCGGGAAGTGTAGTTGCAGCTGACGGAGATTTGCGAGGCCGCCGGGAACTCTGTGGGCAAAGGCACCTGAAGGCGCCGATCCGCACACACCCCAATTCGGGCACCCCAAGAAAGCACAAAGACAACGGACGGTGGAAGCCCCAACCCTCGCGCTGGACCCTGTTCTCCGAATGACTGACATAGCCCCGGCTCTTTGAGAGAGGCACCTTCTTCATGCCCTTCGCCGCGTACTCGCTGGATGCATTGATGTATTGGCACCGCGGGCACTGGCCAGCCTTCAACGAAAACAACATATAAACCCCTGCACCCGCAGCTTCGAAGGCATATGTAACAAACTGACGCCGCTGGGCAGACACTCGGCACATTGGAACACTTGGGCAGCAAGCTTCAAAAAACTCAGCGGCCAAGCTTTGCAATGGCACTCCAGGCAAAACATGGCCTAGCTTAAAGCCTCATTCCTCTCAAGGAGATCCAGAAATTTCATGCACAGCACAGCTCTGAAGGAAAAGGACTCAATGTCCGCACCACTTCGCAGAAAGGTATATGGAAGGCACACCACCATGAAGCACAGCCTTGTCCTTTCTTAAGCGCTCAGCGGCTCTCTGAGGCGTGTAGGGCATGGATCGCCCCCTTTAGCACCCTTAAACCCTTAAAGCCTTAAACCCTTGGGCCTGAACGCCCTCGATCTGCTGCAGCGCATCGCCTATGCAAAGCCGGGGATTCTCAAGAGTCCCCACGCTGAGAACTGGGGGGGGGTTCCTAAGCTCCTTCAATGTGCAAGAGCAAGGTGGACGGAGGCTGAACAACTTCTCAGTGCACAGTGACAGCCAAACATGCACTGGCGGCGCACTGTTCCTCAAACTACTATGATGGGTCTGGCTCATCTTCTGCTCATCTTCCTACTACGATTGCCGGCTCAGGGCACAAGCTCAGGAATTCAAGAACCTTGAGGAATGCATCAACAGCGAGGAGTAGCGGGCTTTCGGAAATCCAGCTGCTTTGCTAGCTAGAACTCAATTCTGACCTCTTTGGAGGTTTCAGGGGTTCTGCAACAACCGTGCCCCCAAGCCACAAGCGTCATACTGGTCCTGGAAGAGGCAGCGGGGCACCTGGCTTGGCGAGAAGAACTGATACAAGCATCTATCTTCTGGAATCAGGGTTCCACGGAAGGAGTCCTCTGTGGGAGGAGGGAGCCTTTGACAAATAATTTGAGGGGTGGGTAAACATATAAAGCTCAGGCGCGTCGGAAGGCGTGAGGCTCAGGTAGCTCCGGCGCCTGATCTCCTGCCAGCACTGCTCCGGGTTGGCGATCAGGCAGAAGTCACCTTCGGGTGGGATCCCGTAAAGCTTGTTGACCAGCTGCACGTCGATTTGCTGGATGGCATCACACCGCGCAAAGAGCGTGCCTGACAGAACGAGATAGAACGAGTGCACCATGATTGACCACATGGAAACAGCTCCCATGCTAGATTTCACGCACCTTGACAATGAACAAGATCATGAAACTGCAAAAACCAGAGACTTCTTTGCCACTGTCTGCTTCGAGGTGCAGGTCTCGGCAACCGTTGCGAACTGGTAGAAGGCACAACTGGCATTGGCGCGGCACTGGGCTGCGCAATTTGGCTGCGTGACGCCAACCGACTGCGACAGAAGCGCCGTGTCCTCCAAGGCGCTACCAGACCGTGTCTCTGTCCAGGGAATCTACTGCATCTCCATTCGAAACTCGACTCCGCGTTGGGAATCCTCCCTCTGTGCGGAGAATAATTAGGAGCAAAAAAGGGGAGGTCCTCGCAGGTGTAAGGGCCTGAGAAGATCAGCTGATCCTTGACCGCGCCCTTGTTGAACGTCGTGGGGCCACGGGGCACCTGATGGAACTCGGAGAGAACAAAACAAACCTGAGGAGGATCCTGGATTTCAATCCCCATGTGCCCTAAACACTTCCACAACAACGGCGGTGGAAAATGCCCCAGATACCCCGTGGCCGAAGGAGGTTGGGGTGCATGCTCAACATGTCATGCGACTCTCGAAGCGGAGCTGTGAGGCAGCGCCTGAACGTTGGAAGACTCGACCACTGGTGGCGCTGAAGCGTGCGCTTCGCCGAAGCACTCGCACGGGTGCAGGGAGAAGTGCTCAGGGTCCTGCTCTTCAAGGTGCTTCAACCGGAAAAGGGCCTGTAGGCACGCCCGGCTCCAAACCCAGATGCCGGGCAAAACCCACTCGAAGGCAACTTGGGTGAGTTTTCAGACTGTCTCAAAAAGCCTTCCTAAAGGGACTGGGCTATAGGAAGGTGGGTTTCTTTAGGGTCCTCCAAAGTACCGAAGACGAAGTCCGTCAGGTCAGGCTGCTCGCAAGCGGGAACCGTGGGCTTCAGCTCAGCCGGCTGCTTGGCCTCCACAACCGTGGTTGGGATGGTATCAAAAACTGAAATTTCTGTTTTCCTCCTTGAGTATGAGTACCCTGGAAAATGTAAGAAATGTTACTATACCTCACTATGACAAAGATCATGCAAGAATGAACGTACAGCCATGGAGGCATGAAATGCCGCGGCTCACTGCCTTTAGAGATGGCTAGCCGTTGTTACTTCTCCTGCACCTGGGGGATATCCCATCATGATTTACTGTACTGGAAGCTTTGGAGCCCTTCTAATGTTCATCGTACCTTCGCACAGGTCCGCTGGTAGGTAAAAATGGCCTTGGGCCACTCCAAGACCACACTGTCGTTGAGCTCCGCGGGAAGAAACTCGAGGTGGAAGTTCTGCAGAAGGCTTTGGACGGCTTCAAAATGGGTTCAAGGGGTCTGGTGTAGGAACTACGGGAGGTTGAAAGATTTTGGGGGCAACATGTGTCTTGTTTCGTGCCAGTGTGAAAAAAGTTGGTACAAAATACAGTAGGCGAGCGAGGGCACGTAGGGAGTAGTGGACCGGACCGGGTGCGATTGCAAAAAAAGGGGTGCGCGAACAAAACACGATAATTTTTTAAAAAAACACAGTAGGCCCAAACTGTAGATGCGAGAAACCCTGATGATGATCTGCGATCATGAAGCCATGTTGATAGCACGCTTCGGATTGCTGGTGACTTTCTCATCTAGCATTTGTGCCGCAGAGCTGGAGAAAAAACACGCAGCAATCCCCATGCGACTATTTCGAGAAAAGCATGCGCAGACTCCTCGTAGCCATTGGCAAAGGCTTTGGTCACGACGTCCTTGCCAGTGCAGGCCATGGCGGCGCCGAAGAACTCCGGGGCATCCACCGTGCCGTTCTGGAAGTCCTATTTGAAGGGTCGGAGAAAACGTACAGGGTTTGGGGTTAGAGGGCTTAGGAACTCCGGATTGAGCGGTTGAAGTTCAGAGCTTGTCCGACCGGCAACAACAATTGCTACCACAATGATCACTGCCATTACGCCTCCTCCTCCTCCTCCTCCTCCTCCTCCTCCTCCTCCTCCTCCTCCTCCTCCTCCTCCTCCTCCTCCTCCTCATCCCCTTCTATTCGTTCATGTGTCCCTGCTGCTCCCTGCTGTTCCACTTGTTGCGATCGCCAGCGCTCGTCGTGCAGAGCCGCTTGGGGGTCGACAAGGGCTGCGAGGTGGCAAGAAGCGTGCAGTTGTCATAGGCGGGATAATGCCCAAAGGAAGGCGACGGGCTCGGAGCTAGTGGCATGTCTTGTGTGAGTTTTTTTGTGGCATTGAATGTCAGGCGCACCATGCGCATGGACCGGCAATCAAAAGTTGTCGCACCGGTCGAGTGGCCAGGATCGTCCCGTTTGGGTTTTGGGCGGGGAATTCGGGTCGTGAGAAGGAGCGTGCCCAGTCCTGAAGCAAACCGTTGAAAGAGAGCAATGTGTTCACCGTTCTTTTTTCTCTGACCATTCTTCCTTCTACGAAAACGGGTGTGCTCTGCTAACTTAAATCTCTGTTTTTGTTTTTTCGCGTCACTTCGCGTGCATGACGCCAGCGAGTGTACGCTGCCATGCCCATTTCAAACCTCAACACCTGCAGGACTGTAGCTTCTTGGATGGTGTAGCACAACTTCCGCGCTAAAAGCACGAACCTAAGGATCCTGGAGCCCAAAAACATCAAACCCCGCAGTCCGAAGTGTTCGTGTGCACCAGGAGCCAGGATGCATTCTCACAGGCCTGCCAATTGTGGCTCAGGCCAGCGTTTCACTCAATGCTTGGGACTTTTCGGGGGTTGAAGCTTTAGGGCCGGCTTACATTCCGGACTATTCCGGACTTCAACACTTGGGAATCCGCCTTTGGAATCTGCATCTCGGCAAACTCGCGGAGCACCAAGTGGATTTGCAGCTCTGGCGTGGTCCCTGCGTGTGAGTATGAGACCTGCGCGCGGGGAGGGCCTGGGGCCATTTTTGCGCAAAGAGTGGTTCTAAAACGGCACTGAATTTGAAACCGTTTTTGGCACGCCTGCAAACTGCAAAGTTTCAGGATGTTTCAGGCTTCAGGCTCATTAATTATATTTTAACCTTCCAAAATTTGGCTCGTTGAGAAACCGAGAAACCCTGAAAATCTGAGTCGTGAGTTTGTCTGAATCGTTGTGAAAAGCACGGAACACGAAGCGGCACCTGATCCTTGAAGACGTTCGACGGGGAGTAACCCCCCTGTACATACCTTGCTCAAGCACGCGACAGAAACAGATTGGCTGCGACTTGCTTCTCTTTTTTGTCCACGCCTTTTTTGCGTCCGCTGCGGTCACACGTCGTCATGTCCGGGACAGACTACATCCGGTCCGGCATGCGGCAACACAAGAATTTTCACTAAGGAGCTTTGTCAAAAACACAGCTTTCCCGTCCAGGTCTCGCATTCCCTCTAACTCACGCCGCAAGGACGTCTCCTCGCCGGGAGGCGGTTGGGGGCAGGGGTGTGGGGATAGCATGGGGACAGCGTTCGTCTTGCAGGACTTTGCAAAGCCGGCTCGCCGGCAGCAGAGGCGACGGTGTCGAGGGGGAGCTCTGGCAAAGAACTGGCGAGGGCCCCCTGCGCTGCGACGGCGATGATGCCACTCCAGCAAGACACATAATCCGCACGCAGGGCCGACCGAACGGCAGCGTGTGCTCGCGCAGCTCGCGCTCGTGCAAGGAGCCGCAGGGCTCGGAACCCGAGCGGCCACCAGTTTCGACAGCGAATACAACGAGGCGGCAGTGCGGCGAGCGCCACGCCCGCGTCCGCGTCCGCCACGCCGGCCTCCGCAGCCAGCACAGGAGTGGGACGCAGTTGTCTCCGCGGCGAGCCGAGCCAAGCTGGCGTCAGCACCTCGCGACATCAGGGCTGGGTCGAAGTTTTCGCAGTGCGCGTGGGCGGCTGCACAACATCGGTTGGCGCAGAGCCGGTTGGTGGGTCCGGCAGCGCACCCAGCAGATTCTGCATGGCAGGGTTGACGGTAGGATTCGTGTCGGCAGCTGGCACATACTCCGCGTCGAGGCAAGAGGTCAATTGCCCGCGGTTCCCCCAACCAGACGAACAGCAGGGCTTCTCATACAAGGGCAGGGATGTAGCGTCCAGAAACTGGCGATGCAAACAATGTGATGGCAGCAGCAATGGAGAGCGGGAGCCCATTATTTCCCCCCCCCCCGCATGAAATTTTTGCTCCTGGCCGCCCGCGATCCTGGCGCGTCGCCATCAATGTTGCACGGCCACTGCAAGGACGCCCCACCACCGGCTCGCCCAGCCTTGCGCGGCGGCTCCGCGGACTGCGGGCGGCGCACTGCAGCACGCAGCCGGACGAACCGCCGCAGGAGGGACTTGCAATGCTCTGCATGGCAGCGTCCTCGTTCCAAACGCTCAGTGCCGTGCGGAGCCAGCGGAGACATCGGAGACCAGTGCATAAAGCATGCCAGCGTCAAACAACAGCGGCACGTAGAAGAAGGAATTCGTGCCCTCGACAAATGGGAGTGAATCTGGCTATGTGTGGCTCAGCTGTCGCGATATCGGCATGCCCTGACATGCGATTGGCAGCGGACTACCTGGTGTATGTTTGGCGGGGCCAGCCGGCCGCTCTTCAGGTGCAAGCGCATGCGACCGTGACTTCCCACAACAGCCGCAGCAAGCAATGGGGGCGGCTCAGTTGGTGGCGGCGGCCGCACCCGAACGAGCGGGAGTTCAGTTCGCTTTGGGATGTTTTTTTTTTCTCCCACGCCTTTTTACGAACGGTCGCTGCGATCCCAGCGCAAGAAGCCTACCAACTACGGGCCGGTTCGAGGCGCCGGGAGGCGGCTTGCGAGCAGTGCGGGGCCACGGCGGACCTCAGCGAGGACCTCGCGCAGGTCAGGCGCCGGACCCAGCCGGCACTGGCAGCGGCCCGGAGCGGCGGCGGGAGGCTGGCAACGCGGTGCCGCGCGACGGCTTCAGCACCGAAGCGCCCGCCAACCTCGACCCCGACAACGACGAGACGCAGCCGTCGCGCGCTCGCAAGCTCGGGGTATGTTTGGCGCCGCTTACGACAAGCGGCGGCCTGGACTGCCGCGCCAGGGCGTGCGGCGGCGCCAGGCTGCGGCTCGCCGACCGGACTGACGATGGTTGCGTCAATCGCGAGCTGCGCCCCGTGCCAAGGGGCAGGCCGTTCGCGACGACCTCAATGCAACGCGCGCCGCTGACAGGAACGTCGATGTTCATGTCAGCGAGCCTCACCAGTTGATTTTGCTGTAGAGTGCTGGCGGCGGGATGCCCAATCAATCAATGCATGCGTCGAGCCATCGGAACTGGTTAAGTATACATTCCATCCTGAGGTGCTGCGGGCTGTGTCCAAACACCCCCCCATGATCTGCATCAACCAACACATCATGTCAGAAAGGTTGGAGCGACGAAGTTTCCCACACAAGGCCATACATAGTTCAGGGTGGATTCCAAGTACTCAAACAAGCGCTTCATTCGCTTTTCAGCTGCAAGTGACCACTTCGAAACATATCGGCCTAAGAAACCCGTAGCAAACATCATATCGGGGCGCGAAGACCTAGCTAAGAAAAGCAACCCACCTACATGTACAGCTGCGTCCGTCTGCTGGGACGGCAGATGGCCGTACTCGGACTCGAGATCCTCATCTGTCATGGGCGTGTCAACCCTTCTCAGGGGACCTTTGATGGCGCGTGCTGTTTTGTAACGTTGCAACAGCATTGCTGCATATGCCGGCTGGGCAACCGTAACGGTGACACTCTGATGCGAAGCAAAGTTCAAGCGGTAAGAGGTCCCTAAAAACCGAAAGGAGCACATCGCCATGATGCAAGTTTTGTCTGGCGATAACCACAAACAGACCCTTTTGATTGGCAATCGGCTGCCAACCATGCTTCAGCAGCTGTGAACGAAGATGGGCATCCCAATCTGATCCAGCACGCGGATGCCCGTAAAGAGCACGTATCAAACGTACCACGGGCTGCTTCATGGATCGCGCACGCTGGGGGAAGAGATGCATCAATGACTTCGGGATTTTCAACCATGTGGCGTTGCCGCCTAGCAAGGCCTGCAAGTAAGCGGATTTCACATTTGCTTGCAACACACAACCGCGTTTGGCACCGAAGCACACGACAAGTCGAGCATTGTGAAGATCTACCGGCGCCGCATACATGCTGCCAACCGACCAAACAACATGTCCGGCAGCGTTACGAAATACCCCCTCCCTTAAAGGGGGGGGGAGTGGGCGGGGGGTTGGAGAAGAAGAAAATGAATGGGAGAGGGGGGGGGAGTGGGTCAGGAAATTTCTTGGCGGCGGGGGGGCGGGGGGGAGTCTGTGCGTGGGGGGGCTGGGGACTCTCTTGAGGTCTCAACATGCGCTTTGCTCACATGCGTATGACATGGTTCTTGATATTTTCCTCTAATTTCTCGCCCCCTATTAGATAGCATTTTCTTTTTTTTTTTCTTCGGACTTTTATGCCTGCTGATCCGTTTGGTCGGCTCCAAAACTACCCGGGCAAGCTACGCCACGCCCGCAGCGGCAGCCGGCGGGCTTCATCGCAGCGGCAGGCGACTCGGTCCGTCCGGGTCACCAAGAGCCAGGACGGCAGCCAGGGTCGGCAGGCTGTCTTGCGCCGGCCCCACTACCGCCCTTGCCCTCCCCAGCGCCGTTGAGCCGACCGCCTGCTGGCATGCGACGGACAGGGCGCTCCACCACCTGCGTGCCCAGGCGACGCCGGCAGCCGCGCGCAGAGGTGCCGGGGCGCGGCAGGCCCGCAAGCGGACCAGGCGTCGCACCACTGACGCAGCCTCGGCGTTCCAGCGCCCCCCGACCTCACAGCCAAGCACGCAGAGCTGTTGCGCCCCCCCCTGTGCGAGCTCGGGGTAGGTGGCCCGCTTACGCCGCTCGGCCGTGCGCAGCACGGCCCCGTCACGGTCTGCGGCTCCGCAGTGGGGCGTGCCATCCCTCGCCAGCGGCGAGACGAGTGTGGCGTCGCAGCACAGCGCCCCTCCCAACGGGGTCGCCCCGTAGATGACGAGGTCCAAGCGGCGACGGTCCCCCGGGGGTACTCCAGGCGCGGTGGTATGGGCCAGCCATTGCTGCGGCACCACTTGGCCCTCTGGCCCAACAGCCTCGCGCGCGACGCGCACCCAAGCGCGCTCGACGACTTTGGCACGGCGCGCAAGCAGGCCCGTGCGGGGGCAAGCCAAGGCATGGTCGCCGTGCTCATCGACAAGGCGGCCACACCCCGGGGTGGACTGCCCGCCATGCTGCCCACCGCAACGCCCTGCGGCCAGCGGAAGCGGCAGGCGTAGGCGTCGCCTCAGTGCGATCTGCATCATCTCCGGGGAGAGCGTCGTGTGGGGGTCACTTGGGATGGCCGCGAGCCATGCGCCGGCGTGGGGCCCAGCCTGTGAACGCACAAGAGCGCGATGAGCGGGCGACAAGGAAGGCAGCAACACGCGGTCGCGGAAGAAACGGTTCCGAGTACGCGACGCGTGAAACTGCCATCCATGCACCCGCCCGCCAGGCTCAGTGGCGTCGGGCTCGGGTCCCGGCGGTCTCGCCCCCCTAGCAACCCGCGACCAGGTCGGCACATCGACCCAGCCTTCGTTGAGGAGTAGCTGCCGACCAGCCTCGGCGGCTCGCAGGCACGCTGGGCCAGTGCCATCTTGGAGAGCCGCGACCGCCCATGCGGCAAACCTGGGGCAGCGGGCCTCGAAGACGGCGAGCGAGTCAGCCCACGCAGCCCAGTAAGCTGCGGGGGCTGCGCGTGTTGCCTGAGTGAGACCCAGACCTCCTAAGCTTGCGGGCAACAGCGCGATGGCGCGTGCCGGGCACTCCGCATCCTCGGCCGGCTCACCAACACAAGCTTGCAACGTGCCCCACACAGCCGCATCGTGCGCCGCAGCGTACGGCTTGATAGCATTTTCTTCTAATTTCTGCCCCCCCCCCCCCACTCCCCCCCGCCCCCCCCAAACCCAGAAGAAGAATTTTTTCTCCAATTTGGCACTCCCCCCCCCCCGAATATCGACACCAAGGGAGGGGGTATGTTACGAATAAAGTTGCCGGTGCACACAAGTCTGGCCTTCCAATTTGCATCATCTAGGCTGGACTGTCCGAGCTCCTCGTAGTCCATAATGCCTATCAGCATTTTTCCGCCAACCATTTCAGCCGATGGGTCCTTTGCACAAACAGCATCCCACTCATCCAAGGATGCCATGTC